ACCTGGTCCTATAACCCTATCAACATTTAATGCAACCATATCTATTAATTTGGAATGACTAAAATAACTTATTGGAAAGAACAAAAGACTCCATAAAAACTAAATGAATAGAGATTGAGGGATTAGTAAACTTTGTTTTTATTTATGTGGCAATGACATTGGCAAGAGAAACACATAAAAAACCTTATATTTTAGGGTGATGGATGATGCTCTTGGTAGATGTAATATGTGTGCATACAAAAAACATAAAGGGAGACCAAGGCATTTAGCATTTTTTATATTCTACACACGGAATGTGATACGAGTACATGATAATGAGCTTTATTGGCATAAAAAAACTATTTCCAAAAATAAAGCAATTTCAGATTCTGGATTGAAAACGAAAAGTGACTTATTCGTTGATATTTATCATTATCAGAATTCAAATCTTTTGCATTTGACATAAATAAATAGTCAGACAAAAAATGATTAAAATTATCTTTAAAATTATAATAGGGGAAATAAGTTAAATTAATAGCAATTATTTTGCCTTTACCCATGATGATAAGTAATTTAGAAATGTTTTTTAATAATATGAACGAATTGAATATATTTTTCGTGCTCTAATAATTGCAACACATTGAATTTACATTAATCACATACCTTCCTTTGACGATGATTTTCTACTATTATATATATAATCAAATTATAAAATGATTTATATAAAATATTATTAAATTTAAAATTTTTACAATGTTTTTAATACGTAACTAAATAAAATTACAATTAGAATTGTCTTGACAAACATGACAACCAAACTATTGTAATTAAAAAGAACAGGATAGTATGCAACAAAAATAATATGGGGTATTTCTAATATCAAATCGAGTCATTTGTCTCATAAAAATGATAATGAACAATCAAATTAAAGCTCTCACCATGACATCTCTTTCTAATACTATGCGTATCCCAAATAATAGAAAAGCCCAAATAATGTTCACTATTTTACAGATCATGACGCAATAATATACGGAGTACAAAAATACAAACATGCCACAATAAAAAAAAGTTATGAGAAAACTGTCAATTCTTCTTACAATTAGAAAACAAAAAAAAAATCAAATTTTTTACAAGGACAAAACTGTTACTATCCCGAAAAGTTCTTCCATATAAGCAGTGAGTCTACAGTTTACCCATTTTTTTAAGAAAACGATTTTATTCATAAACTGAAATAAAATTACAATGCGTAAAGAAAAAACTCAAAAGAAAAAAGAACAAAGAAAAAAAAAGGTAAAGAAAATACAATAAAAATAACTAAAAACTAGCCCCAAGGGAATTCTCTGGACTGTGATCTTGTCCTCATGCTATGACGCCTCTTATTCTTCTGAGATTTCTTGTAGATTTTGAGTTAGATGTTCAGGTTCTCCGTTGGTAGGCAGGTTTTGAGGGTGACCAGCTTTGCTTTACGGCAGATCATTCTATTGAATTTGGATTTCCTAATATCTTCCTGGTTTGATAATGGAGGTTGACGATCACTTTCTGTTGCATGTCCTAGAAAATCGTCTGAGAAGAACGAGTCATCAGACGGATCAAAACTGTCCGAAGCGTCGGAGTAAGCCTGGAGGTGTAGATTTTGTTGTTGTTTTTCAGGTAAAATAAGTTGATAATGTGGAATTCATCTTGAACAGATGCTCTCTTCAACACTCAGATAACATATGACAAATGTCAAATAATTAAATGGCTTTCTACATCAAGTGGGATGACTCGATTTTGAACTATGAAAGAGGTCTCCAACGCACAACATCTTACTGCCCAAGTCCGCTTACGGTTATGATGTCGATTTATTTTATTAAAACAAGAGTAGATTATGACTTATGAGGTCAATTAGATCGGGACCTTTGATGACTATGATGAGATGATCGGTATCCTTTTGAGAGATCCCATCTTTGATCGAACTTGTCCAGCACTATACAGAGTCTTCTTGTTTCTTCTGCTGACTTGATCTTTCATTTCATAAACCTTCGCCCTTTATTTTTCTTGAGAAATTGACCCTTCCGCAGGGTCGATGTATTTTTGTTGTTCCCCCAAAAAGTGAAAAGCAACACACTCATGTAGCAGTTACGCCGGAAAGAGGCAGCAAAGTCGCATAAAAGTATTCCGTAAATAGATTTCAGTTATCCTTTTATTTTTATTTATCTAGTCAGCAAGTTTACACTACTTTCTACACCTAGACATTTCCCTTCACAGTGTTCGCTCGTTTTTTTGCCAGCTCATCAAAACCAAATATAAGACTACATGCATTGGAGGAGGAAATAAGTATAGAATGTGTAATTTAGTGAGGTGGCATGTTTTTCTTAGACTAGACTATGCTGCAATGTGGATGCTCTTATAGATGCTTCCAAAAAGTGTAGATTTCACCAAATTATTATTTGAAAAGGTGAAACATATTTGTCAAATATGTTCAGTATTTGCAAAAACAAAAAAATATGCACCTGAAATATTTGGTAAATCTCTCAATCTTCCTATTGGCCAATAATATTGGGCGATGATCGCCATCTTCGATCGCCAATTGAAGGGTGTGGATCGGCTTTTACTTGAACATATTCAGTGAATATGTCTGTGCTCCTATTGGTCAAAATAAGTTGGCTCGGATTGCAAATTATTCGAACATAATTGGTGAATCTGCTCTATAAAATCCACCACAAATCACACTTCACAACACATCTAACCGCTTCAATTTCTCTTCTTCTCCAAATTTCGGCCATCTCCTTCATCTTAACCAATTTAGTTATGTTACTTAGGAATGAAATTAGTCTATAATAGTGTTAATTTTTAATTGTGAATTAGGAACCTATCAAAGAACTGAAATAGGAAACTTACCAAATATTAATTTATTTACCAAATAAGAAAGATTGGTGTTAATTTACCGAACATGTATGTGTGAATTTACTAATGTGCATGTTAACCTTATTTTTTATAATTTTTTCACTGTTCGTTTGTAGAAATCTTTCCTATTTTGGTGTACAAATTAGTCTATAATTTACGAAATATTATTAGTCTATAGTAATGTTAATTTTTAATTATGAAACAAAATTTAATTAGTGTTAAATATTATATGATATATATGTGTTAATTAGTGATGTTTAGATATTGGATTATATATAATATGGAAATACAATAAATTGTATGCATTATATGTTATATCCAATTATTTTACTTATTAATTTTCGTAGATCAATAATTGTAGTCGGAGAATTTTAATTTTGAAATAGTAGTGTTGTTGTTTAATTAGGTGAATTTTTTGTATTACAAATTGTATTATAAGTAGTGTTGTTTAATTAGATTTATAATTTGAATTATAAATAGTGTTGTTTAATTAAATTTGTAATTAGGTTCGGAGTATTAGAAATTGCATTATAATAGTTTTGTTTACTTACATTTATAATTCGTATTACACATATGACCGTTGAATAGAAATTAATTTAATATATTATTAGATTTTCATGGCTATACAAAGAGAACATCTTCACCACGGACCCGTAAAACATTTTGTATTGGTGATGAGACCCAGAGAACATCGTATTGATGATGTGTGGAAAACTGAAGCGTTGAGAGACTTCAAACTGAGGTGCATTAATTTCCCCAAATCCGCCTACGACGATGGTGAACGTCATCATAGAGTCGTACAACTGTTGAGGGCATCAAGCTTTCACGGACCTGAACGATTAGGAAAAATCAATATTGATTGGGGTCTTATCACCGCATTGGTTGAGAGGTGAAGACTGGAAACACATGATTTTCATTTACCTTTTGGCGAGGTAGGCATGACATTGCAAGATGTACAAGTGTTGATCGTGTTACCGATTGACGGTCTCCCACTTACTGGTCCGACGACACATAGCAAGACTGAATGGATGCAGATGTGTGACGATTATCTTGGTTTCAGACCATTTGATAAAGATATAGTATCATCCAACAACATTAGAATGGTAGCCATTAAGCGCTTTTCGTTATCATCGTGAAGCACAGAAATTGACATTATTCTTCATACGAAAACGTTGATTTGGAGGTTGTTCAGCAGGTTGTTGTTCACTAGCACTAGCGGTAGAGCATCGTTGTACATTCTGAAGTTGTTGCAAGACAACTTAGAGAATATGACTAGGTGGAGTTGCGGTTCGGCTGTGTTGGCATATTTGTACCACAACTTATGTGAAGCGGTGAAGGCGAACAAAGTTTCGGTGGGAGGATGTTTAGTCCTTCTACAACTCTGGGCATGGGAGAGGTTGCCGATGGTTTGACCACAAGATTCCACTAGAACACTTATTCGATTTGCCCTATGGTGCTAGGTAAACTTCACTGACATCGGCAATTTACATTATACTCTTATGGAATTTATTATTTGTCTTGTAAGTCGTTAAATATAGGTGGGCTTTGTCGGCATAACTGATCGGACACTAGCAGATTCACTGTACGCATTTATAGGGACCAATTTGACCGATTAAGGGAGTGAAAGGTAAAATTTAAATTTATTTAATGAACTATTTTTTTATATATTTTTTACTAATACGGAATACTTTTTTGCACAGTTTGAATGTACCCCTTATGAGTCTTCCACCATTTTGCACTGATGCATATGAACTGTGGTCAACTAGAGTTCCACTTATTTATTGTTCATATTTTAAGGCATACGATCCTCGAAGATTTTGTCCTCCATTCAGTGCAGTCCATGATATACCAGATTCAATGATTCATAACGACCGTCACCATGCTACCCGACCATAGAACAATGCTGACTTTATTACAAAATGGGAGGACCGATGGCAAAAATTATATGTGTTTGACCCGATTAGAGTGAGATTCACTGATGAGTACCATCATTGGTTCCATTACATGGGCATGATACACATTAACAACCCCTCACAAGACCATCCTAGAACCAGATTTATTCCGGCTCATCCAGAATCAGCTATCACTGTTAGTATTTAAGAGAGTTTAGTATTCTCAAATAATGTAGACTCAATGTTTGGGGGAGGTTGCTCGGAAAATGCGTGACAAAGGTGACCTTCGAGATTATCTGATGCTGGAGCGAGTCAGGAATTGCCTAAGGCGAATAGGTGCAGAAGAAGTGATGGATCGCGATAAAATCACATTTGAAAATGTTGATGAAGGACACGCATCACCCGATGACCATGGCCAACCGAGCAAACCCACAGGATATGGGTTACATGATGACGATACATGTCATGATACACCCATGGAGCCCCCGTCCACAATTGGTAGTTCCTATCACGCACATGAAGTTCCTGAACATCAGCTACGGGCTGATTTTAATTGGGCTGATTTTAACTGGGCTGATTTATTTGGCAATGATCACTTCAGTGGAGCGACCGGCATTGCAGAGCCGAGCTCACAATATTAGTTTATAATACGAGTAATAGTGTAATATACTAATATTAATGTAATAATATCTTTGTGTGATGTAATTAGTTTAATAATATGAATGTTATTTTCATAATATTCATATTAGTGAAATAATATCCCTCCGTCATCTACTCTAATTATTTCAACCACCCACAACTACTCTATTAATCTCAACTACCACATCCAACTCATCTACTTTGTTTACCTCACTTCCACAACTACTTTATTTATCTCATCTACTTTATTCACCACATCTACTCTATTTAGGTGACGAGGATGTGGTAGTTGAGATAAATAGAGTAGTTGTGGAGGTGAAGTAAATAATGTAGATGGGTTGATGTGGTAGTTGAAATTAGTAGAGTAGTTGTGGGTGGTTGAAATAATTAGAATAAATAGCGGAGGGATATTATTTCACTAATATGAATATTATGAAAACTAGTAATCTCACCCGTGCGATGCACGGCATGAGATTTTGTTTTTTAAATTTATTTATGCTAAACAATTCAAGATACTCTATTCATTGACGACACTATGCAATGCCATGCAATAAAGATATACATCAACGCAACACACAAAACACACTTATAATATTATGGCGAAAATGAGATTACAAAACATGACTCAAAAGTTCAAAACCGTCACACTAATACGTTGAAACCATGACGTTGTAAATAACCGTTTCAAGCAAATCTAAACATTGTTGAAAACTTCTTTGAATACTACATTTTGAATCTTGTTAATGGTTCTCTCATCTTTATCAACAATCAGAATTTTCAAACCACATCGGTTGGTCACCCTCAAAATTGCAAATACAACTGTTTGTGGTACCCCAAGAGGTTCTTCCACTAGAACACTTCTTTGAATTTACATTGTACTAGACATTTTACCAGACCAATTCTGATGAGACTAGTTCAAATCAGACCAGCAAATTCCAATTAAAGTAAAAATATCCTAATTTTGGGCAGATTTGTTTTGAACAAATCTGGTCCGGTAAATGTCTGACCTTTGTGTATTTTATAACTATGAAAATTTGGTATGGTATAATTAAGTCCGGTCTGGTATGTTAAATCTGGTCTGATTTGGGACTGAAAATCATCCAACTAAAAACATTCTTATTCTTATGTTAACAAAATTTTATTTTAAAGTTTTGGTATTTGTTCTTTTTCAAAATTATTTCCATTGTCCAACTATTTTTTATTCTTATTTTGGTTTTAATCATCTAAATACAAGCAAGTGTTAAATTTATAATGTATATCTCTACATATCACTGATGGCAACGTCTTTGTGTGTGATCTGCATGTGGATCTGCCAATTAAGTGACGAATTTTTGTGTCTATGATGCTTTTTCAAAATGGTAAATGTAAAAAACGTGTAAATATCCCCATTTATCTTGCTGGTCAGAAAAGTTTTTATTTTGTTAAATTATTCCCTGATTAATGAATTCATAAATAGGAACTCATCATTTATCCCTTGCGAAGGAGTAATTCACATTCGCAATTTCGTCAATGAGCACAGTTTCTTTCGCTACAGTTCACCGAGGGTCTTGGTGAGTGTCTCATACAAAAGTAATGCAGGGAGCATCTGGATTTTGGGATATAGACTGGTCAAGAGTGGCGAGGATAGGCTATCATATATTTGTGGTTATGTATTGTCCAACGATGGGGTCCGATGAAGGTGAGAGCTACTCCTATTACTATTAGACTTCCAAAAAGGGCTCAAAACGGGATAGAAGTTGAACTAACGACAGAATGAAGAACACAGTACGGGTGCAAACGAGCCAAGCCGAGCCCGAGTTTATGTAGGCTCGAGCTCGAAATATATTGTATTGGCTCGAGTTCGAGCTCGGCTTGAACGAGTTTAAAAAATCCGGGCTCGAGCTCGACTCGCAAATATTGATATGGCTCGAATCGACTCAACTCGGCTCGATAATTTTGGTTCTTCAACTCAAATGTTACAAGTTCGATTAGCTCGAAAGTTCAGGTTCGAACTCGAGCTCAAGTATGAAACAATCTTTGAATATTTGTGCTTAGTATTTACAAATGAAATTTACATGCCCAACAACTAAAAGTAGAGTAAATGTTGTCCAAAATATATAAAAAATGATCAAACCATAATGATTTAACTGAAACTAGAGTTACGGGAACGAATATTCGAATAATCTCCAATTTCTCGAATAATCTAGGAAAATCTCCAATTTCTCTTCTTCTCCAAATTTCGGCCATCTCCTTCATCTTAACCCAAGTATGTTTTTCCTTCATCTTTTTTAGTTTAATTTAGTTAATAATTTAATTATGTTACTTAGGAATGAAATTAGTCTATAATAGTGTTAATTTTTAATTGTAAATTAAGAAAGAACCTATCAAACAAAGTGAAATAGGAAACTTAACAAATGGGAAAGATTAGTGTTAATTTACCGAATGTGTATGTGTAAATTTACTAATGTGCATGTTAAACTTATTTTTAATAATTTTTTCACCATTCATTTGTAGAAATCTTTCCTATTTCGTTATACAAATTAGTCTATAATTTGTGTTAATTTACGAAATATTATTAGTGTATAGTTAATGTTAATTTTTAATTATAAAATAATTATATGATATATATGTGTTAATTAGTGATGTTTAGATATTGATGATATATAAGATGGAAATGCAATAAATTGTACCCATTTTTTGTTGTTTAATTTTGAAATTGTATTATAAGTAGTGTTCTTTAAATAGATTTATAATTGGTATTGCAAATAGTGTTGTTTAATTAAATTTGTAATTAGTTACTAAGTATTAGAAATTGTATTATAATAGTGTTGTTTAATTACATTTATAATTCGTATTACACATGAGTGTTGAATAGAAATTAATTTAATATTAGTATATTATTAGGTTTTCATGGCTACACAAAGAGAACATCCTCACCTCGGGCCCATAAAACGTTATGTATTAGTGATGAGACTTGGAGAACATCGTGTTGATCATGTATGGGCCCACGATGTAATTTATTGAAATAAATTTTAGTGATGTTTAGATATTGATGATATATATAAGATGGAAATGCAATAAATTGTACCCATTTTAAAATTTATTGAAATACAAATTATTTTATTATAATGAAGTTATATGTATATTTTTACATCTACTCCATAAGGCGGAATTAATATATGCCATAAAAATTGAAAAGAATCCAGAGACTATCAGGCAAATATTTTCACTTATTAGTATATGATTAAATGAAGTAATTAATCGAAAAAAAATGAAAAAAGAATCTGGAACAGGTAAAAGTACATACAATCACTGTACCCACACAGCGCACTAAAAGACACGGTCCCACCCATGTTAAGTTTTTTAAAATTGAAACCACAAATTAGTAAACACCCTCATTTAATGCTAACGGCCCACCTGCGTATATAAAATATTCTCGAACAGGCCACCAACCCTATCACATTAACTATCCTCAACCCAACCACCCCATTTTTTTTCTAGGAAGCACGCACCAAATTAATTAATTATTTTAAAACCCACCCACCACATAAAAAACCCACAGCGACTTGGGACCTGAATAACTAAGGATGGAGAAAGGCACTTTTCAAGGAAGTATGCATACATGAAAGAATGCTCAGCGAAAGAGAAAGGTACTTCCTGATCTTGTGTGCACACGGTACGCACATTTGTACATGTTTCAATTAATATGTTTCATATTTGTTAACTCCATGTTTTAATTATCTGTTAACACACATTGTTAATTATTTTTAACTGGCACCTGAACAAATCTGGACAAACCTGAATGCGGTCGCTTGCGTTTGATTATCACTGACTTGCCAACCTAAAATCTAGGCATTCACAACGACTCTGGAAATAAATTACTCAGTTCTAGCTCCACACACAATTTGCCAACCTAAAATCTAGGTTAAAAAAAATTATATCAAATTGCAAAGCCGTATAATAAATAAATAGTTTTAAAAAATTTGATTTCTAACAAAAGGATGAACCACACACAAATGGAAAATAAACAGATCTATTCTAAAATCATAAAAGGCATCAACATAACATTCAAAACATTAATACTATTGACCAATTGGGGGCCAAACACAAAATAAGAGTACATCAGTCACATTCAGCACCATCCACCCCTGAACATAGGCAAACCCATCCCCCAAACTAAAATTTAAATCTGGCCAAAACTATTTAGCAAGCCAACCGAAACCCAAGTCGACAACAAAATCCGCGTTGAAGTAACGCTTGTTCAAACAGACCGTCCGCACGGAACGCATGAGGGCAACATGGTCAGTTAGATCAACGGGGGGCATCCCTGGGGCGTTACCTGAAGCATCACCAACGGATTCAAGGCCCACCCGAGTTCAGGATCTTCGTACATAGGGGACAGAGGTACGAGCGAAGGGAGCCTGTGTGTCGGGGGTGCCCCATCAATGAGATAATCCAGCTCAACTTTTTGATAACACAAAATACAAAAACCCAGATGAACACAACCAACAGTACGCATATCAGTTCCATGGAACGTGTAAAAACTGTTTTGACACTGTCTTACAAAACAACTGACAGCCACACCGTCACTGTTTTCATCAACAGATTCAAAGGACCAACCGAGTTCAACATCTTCATACATAGGGGACAGAGGTGCCGACGAAGGGAGCCTGGGTGCCGGGGGTGCCCCATCAATGAGATAATCCAGCTCAAAATTTTGATAACACAAAAAACAAAACCCCAGATGAACACAGCCAACACTACACATATCAATTTCGTGGAACATGTAAAAACAGTTTTGACACTGTCTTACCAAAAAACGACAGCCACACTGACACCTTTTTCAACAAAGCCTGCTTGAGTTGTCATTCCACGTTTCTTCTACACCAATATGAAAACAACATGATGTAGGAAACTTTAGAAACCTCAATGTTTATAAGACCCAAGTGATCTAGAACATAAGTGTAGAATATATGCTAAAATCACTAACAAATTTTTCATTTTTTTGTATTAAAAATAGCCCCATCCGGAGAAGTATGTGATAGTGTTACAGGCTTCATCACCAAAAATTATTCAGATTCAAGCCCAAATATTTTCTTCATTGTATTTCCATTCTCAAATATGACTTCTATAATGAAATGGGCTGGAGCCCTGGTGATTGAGTGTCACCATTGCCCATTTTGAAATATTTAAACTATGACTGAGCTGTGATAGATTAAAATAAAAACACCATGAAATAAAATAACCCCATAATATATAGGGTAGACCTCGAAGAAAAACATAAAAATTACTCCAAAAATGCTCAACACACAACCAAAAAAAGACAACTGCTGAGAAATTAGTATCTAAAATGAAAAACCAAACCTAAATTTCATACTAATGACGAAAGATTAAAATAGGCATAAAATAGATGAAACTTTAACTCTATTATTTAGGAAGGTAGCAATGGAACCAACATTGACTATTGTCACTCACCTAAATAACTCAGTTGTAGTTCTCACAAGGTTGATGGAAGGTTAGAGCAAATGATAGTTAAAGAAAGAGATGGAGTTGAGCTTTTGCTTGATTTTTTACTTAGACTAGGATACACATATATATACATACATTCTATCCGCAAGGCTGACCATATCAAATCTTTAAGCCTTAGATGATTATACAAAATCTTTCCATCATTTACAATGGAGCGAAAGATTCATTATTTTTTTGCTTAAGATTATGATGGAATAAAGCAAAATGGCTCACTAAACTGTCTACGCTTCTTTGTTATGAAACAGCTGTCAGTCCATGCAATTTTGGATGGGATTTTCACTATGGGTCATCCGGAAACAGTTTCTTTGTGCTTTAGTAGGGGGGAGACTTTGTGGCACTAGGGGGGAGCCTTTGGATAAGACTGCGTATATCCGACCCCCACCGTAGGAGGGAGCCTTTGTGGCACTAGGTTAAATGAAAATGAAAAAGAAGATTATACAAAATCTGTAATGAATCACAAAAACCATATTTTTGGGCAAAAAACAGTAAAAAAGTAATGATTAATTCCACTCAGCCTAGATATTATACACTAAAGCACTGCTTTCATAGTAAAAGTAACCAATGGTGTGTTTCTAACACAGCAATGTCATCATTTATCTTTTCTACGATAAATGTCATTTAGAAAAGACTAGCGGTAGAGCATCGTGGAAGTATCTAGGATGACATTTATCGTAGAAAAGATAAATGATGACATTGTTGTGTTAGAAACACACCATTGGTTACTTTTACTATGAAAACAATGTTTTAGTGTATAATATCTAGGCTGAGTTAGTCATGGACTCAGGCCGGGTCCGGGCCGGACCAAGCCTTGGGTTTGTGAATAGTGTGCTCGGGACCGGCCCGAGGTAATGGCAGTTCTGGTTCAGGCGAGGCCACCCGCCCGGGTCACAGGTCGGGCAACCCGCCAGGCCGGGTCGGCCCTAGGCAAATCCAATTTTCTTTTTACTTGTTTGTACTTTATAGTTTTATACAAGTATTAAAAACAAACTTCAAGTGCATTTATTTGAAATGAAATAGGAACTACATTTGACAATTGAGAAAAAATACAATATGAAATACATTTTGTAATCAATTGGAACTTCCCGGACCTCCTGGTCCTTTGGCTTTGTCACATGACTTAATATGTTTCCTTGTCATCCCGTATCCGCGTGAAACCCCCCATGCTACACTTTTTCCCGCACCATTTGCAAGTTGCGTAACACATCCCGATCCTCGGATCCTTCTGCGTATCAAAATTATACCGTATAACGGTATATTGACTTTTCATCTTAAAAATCGTAGATATAATAATTCTGAAAATACTAGAATAGATGGAGATGAAGATGGAGAATAGAGATTGGAGATTGGAGAAGATGTGTATAAAAATGTTAGAAAATAGGAGTATTTATAGAAATTTTTGTACCCCCAACACCCACCCCACCCCCAACCCCAACGACTCTATTGATTCAAATTTCAAACAACCAAACTGCCCAACGGCTATATAGCCGTTTGGGGCCTTTGATTTCAATTTTTTTTTTGTTTATTTTAGTTTGAATAAATTACATAATGTAAAATTAATTAATTAATTTTATGAATTCAGTAAAAAATGCTACATATAAAAAAATGAACGTATATTTATTTGAAATATGAACTACAAGTTTACAAGTTACAATTGAAGGTAAAAATTAAAACATGAAATATTATTCAGTCGAAATCTCCAACATAGGTAGAGCCACCCTCGGTTGTTGATTCATCCATGAAGTGTTGGGATGGGGTGATGTCAATTTCTTGAGCTCTAGGGGCCGCCCTCAAGAGATTCTGCTCTCAACCTCGTTCTAGTTTGTGTTAAGACATTGTCGGCCGAACTAAACTTGCAAGTGGTGCAAGAAAAATTATAGCTTGGGGATTTCCGGTGGAAACGGATCCGCCGCAAGGCATCTTAAGGCCAAACACCCGATGGAGTATGCAAAATTAGGCGGCGGAACGAGGAAGCAAACTCAAATATCAAGATTTGCAAATAACCAACAACCTTTTGGTAATTTCTCATACAATAATGCACAAAATTTGACTGGAATGGCTAACTTACTTGTTGAAGAAATTTTGCCTTATTTGTTTTTAGAAAGTCTTGCTTTTCGTGATTATGCACAAACTTGTTTAAATCCTCAATATAGAGGTTATAGTCGCAAAACGATTAAGAAAGAAATTTCAAGGCTTTATGGTGCGGAAAAGGTAAGGTTACAAAATTATTTGGCAAACTTTGATGGGTGTATTACTGTATGTTCTGACATATGGGAGGATACTTATCATAATTTACATTATTTGGGTTTGACTGTACATTATATTGATAATGATTGGAATATGCATAAATGTGTTCTTGCTTTTTGTGAATTTAATGATCGTCACACCGCTGAACATATTTATATTTTGATTGAGCGTATTTTAATTGAGTATAATTTAATTGATAATGCTACTAATAATACTGCTGCTATACCTAGATTGCGTGAATTGTGTGGTTCTACTTCTTTGATGAGTAGATTTTTTCATCCGATATGCATGTCATGTTATAAATTTATGTGTGCAAGATGGTCTAAAAGCGTTAGGAGATTCTTGGGAGGTAGTGAAGGGAGGATTAGATGTATTTGGGGTAGTGGTAAACTTAGAAAAAAATGACATGATTATTTGATAGAAAGAGATGAGAAATATGTGGCTTTTCCTAAAGATTTGTTAATTCGTTGGAATAATATTTATAAGTTAATGACAGTTCTACTTAGATATAAACAACATTTTCATGCTTTTTTAAAACAATATGATAACTATATTATAAACTCGGCTGAGATCGACACCTGCGAAAAATTTGTAATGCCTTGATATATTTTTATAATGCAACTGAAACTTTTAGTCATGTTTATAAACCTACCTCAAACCAATTTATTCGTGAAGCTGTTAATCTCGCCGGTACTTTTGCAACTTTTGGGAATGCCGATTATGTGAGTTATTTTGCTGATTTTATGATGGAAAAGTTTTTAAAATATTATGCACATATTCCGCATATTTATGGTATTGCATCTGTTCTCGATCCTCGTTTAAGACTTGATTCTTTAGAAGAATGTTTGAATTATTATTATCAAACTTTTTATGGTCCTTTGCGAATGTATGACGAGAACACAATTGATCCGAAAAAAGAATACAACGAGGTTAGTGATATATTTTATGCATTATTTAATGAGTTTCATGCACAATATGGCAACGCGCCCCTCCCCCGACACAAACATCTTCATCTAAAGCAAAATCAATTCTGAAATCTACATTTGCCAATCTTATTAGAAAAACTAAAACAACTTTCACTACTCAACAAAGCACAATTAATGAGATTTCTTTGTATTTAACATATGATATTGATTTTAAAGAAGATGATGATTTTGACGTTCTAAACTGGTGGAAGGGAAAAGAAAAATGTTCCCGATTTTAACAAAGATGGCTAAGCATGTGCTATCAATGCCGGTTTCAACAGTTGTTGTGGAACAAGAATTTAGTTCGACTGGCAATGTCCTAACACAAACTAGAATGAGGTTGAGCACAAAATCTCTTGAGATGCTTATATGCTACCACCATTGATTGAAGGCGGCCCGTAGAGCTCAAGAAATTGACATCACCACATCTCAACAATTTATGGATGAATAATCAACAACCGAGTGTGGCTCTACCTGTGTCGGAGATTCCGAATGATTAGTATTTCATGTTTCAATTTTACCTTCAATTGTAACTTGTAAACTTGTAGCTCATATTTCAAATAAATATACATTCATTTTTTTATATGTAGCATTTTTACAAAATTCATAAAACTAATTAATTAATTTTACATTATGTAATTTATTCAAACTAAAATAAACAAAAAAATTGAAATCAAAGGCCCCAAATGGCTATATAGCCGTTGGGCACTTTGATTGTTTAAAATTTTAATCAATAGAGCCGTTGGGAGTAGGGGTGGGGTGGGTAGTGGGGGTATACAAATTTCTATAAATACTCCTATTTTCTAACATTTTTATATACATCTTTTCCCATCTTCAATCTCCGTTCTCCATCTTCATCTCCATCTATTATAGTATTTTCAGAATTATTATATCTACCATTTTTAAGATGGAAAGTCAATATGTCGTTATACGGTATAATTTTGATACGCAGAAGGACCCGAGGACCGGGATGTGGTACGCAACTTGCAAATGGTGCGGGAAAAAGTGTAGCATGGGGGTTTCATGCGGATACGGGATGGCAATGAAGCATTTTCAGTCATGTGACAAAGCCAAAGGACCAGGAGGTCCGAGAAGTTCCGATTGGTTACAAAATGTATTTCATATTGTATTTTTTTTTTCAACTGTCAAATGTAGTTCCTATTTCATTTAATATAAATGCACTTGAACTTTGTTTTTAATACTTGTATAAAACTATAAAGTACAAATAAGTAAAAAAAATGGATTTACCAGGGGCCGACCCGGCCAGGCGGTGGCCCAACCCGTGACCCGGTCGGGTGGCCCGGCCCAAACTGGAACCGCCAGTACCTTGGGCCGATCCCGGGCCCACTATTCACAAACCGGAGGCCCAACCGGGCCTAGGCCTGGCCCCAGTCCATGACTAATTCAGCCTAGATATTATACATTAAAGCACTCTTTCATAGTAAAAGTAACCAATTGTGTGTTTCTAACACAGCAATGTCATCATTTATCTTTTCTACGATAAATGTCATCCTAGATACTTCCACGATGCTCTACCACTAGTCTTTTGTAAATGACATTTATCGTAGAAAAGATAAATAATGACATTGATGTGTTAGAAACACACCATTGGTTACTTTTACTATGAAAACAGTGCTTTAGTGTATAATATCTAGGTTGAGGGGAAGTAATCAATACTTTTTTACTGTTTTTTGCCCAAAAATATGGTTTTTGTGATTCATTACAGATTTTGTGTAATCTTCTTTTTCATTTTCATTTACCCCAGTGCCGCAAAGGCTCTCACCTACGGTGGGGTAAGAGGGGGTCGGATGTACGCAGTCTTACCCATGTACTAAAGAACAAAGAGACTATTTCCGGATGACCCATAATGAAAATCTCGTCCAAAATTGCATTGCCTGACAGCTGCTTCATAACAAAGAAGCGCATACAGTTTAGTGAGCCATTTTGCTTTATTCCATCATAATCTCAAGCCAAAAAATAATGAATCTTTCGCTCCATTGCAAATGATGGAAAGATTTTATATAATCTAAGGCTTAAAAAATTGATATGGTCAACCTTGCGGATAGAATATACTCCCTCCCCGTCCCTAAAAGGATTGTTAAGTTTGACTGGCGCGTAGAATAATAAAGTAAAAACTGTGTGGTAGAGATTTGTGCAGAGGAGAGAAATAACAGGAACCACAAATTGATTGATTAAAAAGGAAACTGGCAAAGTTTTTGGGACAACTAAAAAACTAAAGTTGGCAAAGTTGTAAGGGACGAAGGGAGTATGTGTATATATGTGTATCCCAAGTCTAAGTAAAAAATCAAGCAAAAGCTCAACTCCATCTCTTTCTTGAACTATCATTTGCTCTAACCCTCCATCAACCTTGTGACATTAGTCAATGTTGGTTCCATTCCCACCTTCCTAAATAATAGAATTAAAGTTTCATTTATTCTATGTCTATTTTAACCTTTCGTCATTAGTATGAAATTCAGGTTTGGTTTTTCATTTTAGATACTAATTTCTCAGTAGTTGTCTTTTTTGGTTGTGTGTTGAGCATTTTTGGAGTGACTTTTAAGTTTTTCTTGGAGGTCTAGCCTATATATTATGGGGTTATTTTATTTCATGGTGTTTTTAATTTAATCCATCACAGTTCAGTCATACGTTAAATATTTCTTAAAATGGTCAAGGGTCACACTCAATCACCAAGGATCTAGCCCATTTCATTATAGAAGTCATATTTGAGAATGGAGATACAATCAAGAAAATATTTGGGCTTGAATCTGAATAATTTTTGGTGATGAAACTTGTAACACTACCACATACTTCTCCGGATCGGGCTATTTTTAATACAAAAAATGAAAAATTTGTTAGTGATTTCAGCATATATTCTACACTTATTTTCCAGATCACTAAGGGCTCCTAAACATTGAGGTTTCTAAAGTTTCGTAGATCATATTGTTTTCATATTGGTGTAGAACAAACGTGGAATGGCAACTCAAGCAGGCTTTATTGAAAAAGGTGGCGATGTGGCTGCCGGTTTTTTTGTAAGACAGTGTCAAAATTGTTTTTACATGTTCCACGAAACTGATATGTGTACTGTTAGTTGTGTTCATCTGGGATTTTGTTTTTTGTGTTATCAAAAATTTGAGCTAGATTATCTCATTGATGGGGCACCCCCGACACCGCTCCCTTTGTCGGCACCTCTGTCCCCTGTGTACGAAGATCCTGAACTCGATTGGTTCTTTGAATTCGTTGATGAAAACGATGACGGTGTGGCTGTCAGTTGTTTTGTAAGAGTAGTGGTGATAAAGTTTAGTACATGTAAGGTTATACCTGTGCTCGATTGGTATGATATACACAGTAAATGATAACAAATGAGTGAGAATTAGATAATGTACCTGTGCTTTTAGAAGCAAAAGTTGTAGTGATATGCATCCATATTTACTTTAAAATAAACATCCATTTTAAAATTTAGTACATGTAAGGTTATACCAAATTTGTGGCAAAGAGTAGTGGTGATAAAGTGGTCATATTTTGTTTTTAGTAAACTCATAACTAATGAAGGCAGATTATTAATAATGAATCAGGTAAACAACGTACCGTTCAGGATACACGTGTCACTCCTGTCATCCACGTGGCTCTGTGATTTTTGTTTTCTTCATTTCATTGATGCAAAGCTGTGACCGATCCTAAAATAAGTCACAATTTTTTGTAAATATATAGTGCACAAAATTTAACAGTTAAATTAATGGGATGGCTTTCTCACCTTTTTTGTGGTCCTGCTTCTTTAAGTCAAGGGGAATCACCGCAATTAACTTGTAAAACTCATTTGACGACTTTCCCGATTGAGTTTTTAGCTGAATTTTTGTGCGGATAAACTAGTCTTAGGAACATGCCACAAAAATTTCATAAAAAAATTCCACCAGAAAGGCGGCCAAACGCCGCCGTCCCAACGGCGATTCCTGTCCGGAATTCCGGACATGAACTTTCTTCTATATATATATATATATATATATATATATTGTTTGGTGTATATGAGCATCGGGGAGACATATTTGTCGTTCTCGTAACTCTAGTTTCAGTTAAATCATCATGGTTTGATCATTTTTTATATATTTTGTACAACGTTTACTCTACTTTTAGTTGTTGGGCATGTATATTTTGAACTTTCTTCTGGGTGAACTGTACCGGGCCGGGTCACAGGCCGGGTGGCCCGAACCGAATCCAACCCTACTTTTGTATGAGACACTCACCAAGACCCTCGGTTAACTGTAGCGAAAGAAACTGTGCTCATTAACGAAATTGCGAATGTGAATTACTCCTTCGCAAGGGATAAATGATGAGTTCCTATTTATGAATTCATTACTAGATCAAGAAATAATTTAACATAATAAAAACTTTTCTGACCAGCATGATGAATGGGGATATTTACACGTTTTTTACATTTACCATTATGAAAAATCATCATAGACACAAAAATTTGTCACTTAATTGGCAGATCCACATGCAGATCACACACAAAGGCGTTGCCATCAGTGATATGTTGAGATATACAGTATAAATTTAACACTTGCTTGTATTTAGATGATTAAAACCAAAATAAGAATAAAAAATAGTTGGACAATGGAAATAATTTTGAAAAAGAACTAATACCAAAACTTTAAAATAAATTTTTGTTAACATAAGCATAAGAATGTTTTTAGTTAGATGGTTTTCAGTTCCAAATCAGACCAGATTTAACATACCAGACCAGAATTAATCATACCAAACCAAACTTTCGTAGTTATTAAATACACAATAGTCAGACATTTACCGGACCCGATTTGTTCAAACCAAATCTGCCCAAAATTATGATATTTTTACTTTGATTGGAACTTTCTGATCTGATTTGAACTAGTCTCATCAGAATTGGTCACGTAAAATGTCTAATCCCTGTGTATTTTTTAATTGTCTAGGTCTGATCTGATATGACCTGAAATCAAGCAGAATAAAAACATCCTTAAACCCAAACCAGACCAACAAATTTCAATCCATGTATAATCATACCGATACAACACTCTTTTAAACGTAACTCTGAGCTTTCATAGTGAGGCAATCAACAAAGAAAAGTTATAATGTTTTTACATTGACAGAATGCTACCTAATCTGGATTAGTCTGAACTAGTCAGGACTAAAAGCAGATCAAGCAGGGGCAAAGCCAGAGCAGTGTGCTAAATTAGGCGAGTACAAAGAATATTTTCGGAAAAAAAATACACAGAATTTTTATACTGAAAATATAGACATTTTTAAAATTTAAGCTAGGCCAGAACTAGGGCTAGCAATCCTTAACTACGGCCCTGAGATCAAGTAAAAACTTCTTCAAAAGAACAATTAAAATGAAAAGCTAGATAACAGAAAAAGAGAAGTTAACAAAATTTTAAATGAAATACAATAGTTCTATACTTTGTTCCTTCAAACTTCGTAATAAACTGGATGACATGTAGAATAATAATGATATAAAGTGATTTTTCAGTCTCGTACCAAACTTAAACGGATCACAACACACAAGACCAAATTTGATAGGTAATAATACATAAAGGTTAGACATTTATCTAACCAAATCAGGTTTAAACAAACCATACATAAGTAGCAAATTCTTGTCCAAGTAAAAACATGCGCTCAAGGACTGAACCAAGACACTAGATCAGACTGGACTAGTATAACTACCAAAATACATCGAATACTTTACACTAAAAATATAAAAAAAAATAAAATTTGGGTTGGGCGTCTGGAAGCCTTGGCCTCCCCTAGCTACGCCACTGCTCTGTCTGGTCCTAAATACACTTCCTAGTTGAACTTTCTGCTCTCTTCATGCCCTTGAAAAATAGATAAAGTAAATATAAAGCAAGTAATAAAGTACTTTCTTAGTCCCTAATAATTTTGTCAAGTTTGACTGACATGGGGAATAATAAAGTAAAAAATGTTTGGTTAAGATTTGTGCACAGGTGAGAGAATGAACTAGAACCACAAATTTTTTACTTAAAAAGGAAAGTGACAAAGTTAATGAGACATCCAAAAAAGGAAAGTTCTCAAAGTTATAAACTTCACTGAAAATCAAAATGAGATAAAGATCGATTTGAGTGGGCGATAAGTTTTTGTATTTCTATGAGAAGCTCTATGGAACCCACGATTCCCAGTAGTAAGTCGTCGGCCACTGGAGCCATTCTAAAAAGGGAGAAAATAGGGGAGGGAAGGGACGGAGGGAGTATAACTGTATAGGAACAAGAAAAACTTCATTGTAAAAATTATCATAAAATAGAAGTTTTGGTCCTTTCCAAAATAGGGAACTATGTAATTTATTTGGACCAGCGAGAGTAATAAAAATTGTATGATGTAGAACGTTTTCATATTGTTTGAGAGCATGTGACAAACTTATCGAAGGAAGTAACATTTTGTTATGGCCTTTTGGCCTGAATATTACTAAAAAGGACAAAAAGACAAAAACGTGACAACTTTTTCAAAATTCCAAAAATGTGACTTAACAATCCTGCAGTGCAAAGTGACTTCAGACAAAGTGACTTCGACGTCAGAGTTACCAGCCATCACAATGACTGTCGAACCGGCCACAGTGACAACCCCACCGGCCACGGTGAATGTCTGCCACCTATCACAGTGACCGCCTGCCACCTATCACAGTGACTGCCCACCTACCACAGTGACAGTCTATCCCCTACTGACTCACTTTCACGATAAAAAGTAACTCATTCTGGAGTGACTTACTTCCCCAATTTTTAGGGATCAACTTCCCTAGGTGGCTTATGATCCTACTAGCTCTACTGTCCCGATGATGCAGTGACTCCACTCCCACCCCAACAAACCGCTAGTTATCTACTAACTAGACCCACAAGCTCCTTCTGAACCTCTATCACTACCAACAACGATAAAAACGACCACTAGTTGTAAAATCAGCTAAATAGATTAAACCCACCGTAGTAATATCAATCGAACAGAGAGCCTAAATAGGTTTGTTGCATTAGAATAAGAAGATTAGAAGAATAAGAGAGAAGGAAAAGAAGAAAACAGTGTCCTAGTGAAAAAGTTGTGGCTTACGACACTCCATGATGAATAAATCGTTGAAAGGCAAATAACAATCTTGTGGTCTACATCACCTCCGTAGGAATTGAAGAAACCTGTCAGCGACACCACGTCAAACCCTAGACCAAATGCTAATCCAATAGATCTACCACCACAACCTTTGAAGAGATATGTCGTTAATGAGATTCATTGATGGGTTGAAGATGTGTTTGAGGCTGCAAGACATGGATGGGTTGACGATTGGGATTAAGGTAAGAAAGGCCGGAGCCTAACCCGATTAGACCCGGACCCAATATCAACCTGAACCAATTCCGGGTCCAATATTTTGAAGAAAAAAAAAACCTGCCCGGGCCTAGGCCCGGAACCAGTCTAGAGCCATCCCTAGCTCAATGAGTTATGTTGGGGGTAGTTGAGACTTAATAATCTCTTTAGTCATAGTTTAATACTTTAATCCAAAATAAAAATGAGTAACATTTTTGTTCATAGAAACTGGATTAGTAATATCTAGGCCATTATTTCTTTTGATATCACTTTTTATATTAAAAAAAATACTTTTGTATTTGAAATTTCAACTGATCAAATCAAGAACTATGGTATACATCACCCTTGTACCGCTTACAAAACACGTACACTGTACACACCTGGGGCCAACCCATCGTCCTTACATTTACATATTACTTCAGTTTTAGATTATAAGTACTTTGTAAATATATGATCGACAAGTAAAAACTTGTGTTAACGTTGAAAGTGGAGGTATGGAAACAATCTAAATTTCATGCCCAAATGTATCTTACACAAAGGGTAAGAGGATCCAAATGCCAAAGGTCTTACGAGACCACAAAGGATTTTAATCCAATGTTCATAAAAAAGTATTGTACTAAAGTGTCTACAGTAATTTCAAGACGTTAACCTCCTCACACAAAGCTTTCAAACTACGGTGTAGTAGGGATTGACTCAGGCCGGGTCAACCGGCCCAACCCGACCAGATGCCCAGTTATTCAGGGCAGGCTCCGAGTCCCGAAATAATTAAACAGCCTAGCCGTGCCAAAATTTTTATTATTATTATTTTTCACAATCCTTGAGAGGTAAATGGGATGAGCTGGATGTTTTGGAAGGATTTGGGGTGTGGGAAGTGTGTTGGAGGAAGTAATTAGAAAATCAAAAAAAAAATAGGTAGCCAGTCTGAGGCCCAACCAGAACCGGACCCAGTAACTACCCGGGCTGGTTCCAGTCCTCAAGAATACCAAAAAAAGTTGATCAGACCTGGACCGGCCTGAGTCCATGCCTACGGAGTAGTAGTAGTGTTGGACTTGATTCGGGCCACCCGGACTGGCCCGCTACTGTGCGGGACCGGCCCAGCCCGGTTCTTCGGGCCCAAAACCGGTCTATGGCCCAACCCGACCAGGCCCAGTTCAGGCCAAATTGATTTTTTTTGTTTTTTTTTTCAATGTTTGGACTTCACCCGTGTTGGGCTTGATATTTAGAAGATGTTTGGGGGGTGGGGTGAGTGGGGGTCAGAAGTAGGTTTGTAATCAAAAAAAAAAATACCCAAGCCCGAGGCCCAGACTGCCCGGGCCGGTCCCGGATCCACCTACTCTGAACCATTTGCCCACCCGAGCCTAGACCCGACCCGGACCTGAACCCATCCCCAAGTAGTAGTGAGATATTGTGGGCTATTTGGTAATTCATATTTTCACCCTAAAGCTCCTTATAAACCACCTACTTTAAATGTTGATATGACATTTTCATCAAATATTTATAATAATCAAAATAAGTAATTTAACTTTTGTATATCTTTTTACTAAAAATTATCTTTTTAGTAAAAATTATTACTAAAAGTATATCTTTTTACTAAAAAATATTTATAATATATAAATATAATAAGAAAATATTTTTTGTTGAAGTATTTTCATAGAACAAAACAAAGTTTATGAACATCCATAATTTTAAACAATGATTCAATTTTTTTGAAATGACAATGTTTGATGTGACAATTTGATCGGAAGGGCAGTCAAATAAAGTTTTGAAAATAACGATGTTTGATGTGATGTGTTTAATTTTGCTTACCGGAATTTTTAGCTGATTTTTTTTGTAAATAAAGTAGACATGATGAAGAACATTTCTACAAAATCATCAAAAAAACTCCAACAAACAGCAGCAACTCAAGTATTCAAAAATCAAAAATCTCTTTGTGAAAGCGAGTACTCAAAATTATTGTGGTACAATAAAATAATACCAAGTACAATTTTAGACTTAAATTAACTCAAAAATTCAAACTATGTACTTCAATTGTGGGACGGAGGAAGTACATCGTAGTAAGTAAAATAATATTAATACATGCAACTTCCAAATATATTACTCCAGCCCAGTTATATATAAATACATAATATATATGCTATGCTGCGTAATTGAAGTGGTTCAAAAACCTGTGCAACAGCACAGTTATAGAGTACTAGTGAGCCATTGCAACTCATATAAGCTCACAATAAGACTTGCGACTGCTAAATTGATAACATTTAAAATACATATGTACCACTATTTGAGATGTTGGCTTTGTATATCCACCTGAGTTGCTACCAAAAAAGAAAAGAAACAACCATTCTAACAACAGTCCACAAGATGGAGAGAATTCATACCAAAGATTTGATCATTTTCATTCACTTTTGAAGTTCACTACGTATTTAGATACGGCAGAGGTAGATCCAAGCATATGATGCTCAATAAGCAAATGTTTTTAGGAAATCATGGAGTTTTTTCCCACGAAGGGGTGTTTTTTAAACTTATTTCCCAAACTAAGGTACTTTTAAACTTATTTCCCAAATAGGGGTATTTTTTGTCATGTCACCTCAGTATCACTGCTAGGCGCCACATAAGCTTATCCACATCATCCCATCAATTCCATGTCATCAATTTTGAGAGTTTAGCTGCTTCTAAAATATAGAAAAAAATTGAAGCCAACAGGATTCGAACCTGGGTGGAACACAAGAAAGGCATGTATGTAAACCACTACACTACACCATTCACTTGTTAACACATGCTTTTTAAGAAGTATAAATCATGTATCCTTCACCCCGGGAGTGCACTATTTCTTAATCGCATAAAAAACTTATAAAATAAAATAAAATATAAGTAAAAATAAAATATCGTATTAAAAACTTATAAAATGAAAGAAAATATAAGTAAATTTCATGCTAGTCCACTTTAAATTCTATAAAAGGTTTAATATTAATGTAAAATATCGTATAAATTTTTCTTTATGAAAATTCTCTAACAGCTCAATTTTGTTTAGCCTCAGCTCTACTCCGCCTCGGAACCAAGCATTTTTCGTTGATAAATTTATCAAGTTTTTTCTTTCTTAGATAAATATTATATGATTTTCATGACATGAATAGTATCCGATTTTAAATTGGGGTGGGTTAGAGCCTTTCATAACATTTAGTAACAATAAATTTTAATTAAGTCTTTATTTTTAATTATCACAAACCTAGTATTTAATTCTATAAAAATGAACCGAGTCGAGAAGAGTTGAGCTGCTATAACGAAATAATCACAATGAAAAACTTAGTTTGCGATATTTAATTCTATAAAAATGTAATTTAAATTTATAAAAAAATTGAAGTTTATAATTTAAAAGTTATTTGAAATAACTCAAAAGTAAATAAAATAAAAAATAAGTAAATTTCATGCAATAAGTAACTTAGAAATATGACTTATATTTTATTTGATTTTATTTCATTTGAAGCTAAGATATTTAAAAAAAATACATATTTCAAATTGTGTTTTGTCATTATAATTAAGTTTAAATTAATTTTTTGTATTCTAAGTTAAATATTTCTTTATTTTTCAAATTAAATTAGCAAATTATGTTTTTATTATAAGTTTTAATAAGATTTTTAATTGAATAACTCAAATTCAGTTTTTTATTATTACATTTTTTATTGTTTGGTAAAGAGATATTTCTGAAGGAACGAATAATACATGTGATTAAGAAATAGTGCACTTCATGGGTGAAGGATACATGATTTATACTTCTTAAAAGACATTTGTTAACAAATGAATGGTGTAGTGTAGTGGTTCATGTACATGCCTCTCTTGTGTTCCACCCAGGTTCGAATCTTGTTGGCTTCATTTTTTTCTATATTTTAGAAAAACACTTAAACTCTCAAAATCGATGACATGGAATTGATGAGATGATGTGGATAAGCTGATGTGGCGCCCAGCAGTGATAATGAGGTGACATGGCAAAAAATACCCCTACTTGGGAAATAAGTTTAAAAGTACCTTAGTTTGGGAAATAAGTTTGAAAAACACCACTCCATGGGAAAAAACTCGAAATCATGCTTTACATACAGAGTAATTCATGGTTTTTAAAGTAGTACTGGGAATATTTGGACGAGTATTTCACAATTAATGATGTCGGCCTTGAGACGACATTTCCAGCAAAAACGAATTATAATTATCCACAAGAATAAATGATGATATAGCGTTTGTACCTTGATAAATGTAGCTGTTGTGAATTATCCCAAAGTTAACTTTGCTGCAGGTAGTATAGGACTTGGTTGCGGTTTAGAATTATCCGAACTGCTTGCTTTGTACCGAGATGATTTGTTGGGAATAAATCTAGATCTAACATGGCAATCGCAGCTCATTTAAGATCTGTAGCGAGAAGACAAAGGGAAAGAGGACGCATCACACAGAGAGGAGAAGCCGAGAAAACCCCGTACCTTCTCCTCTCTAAACCAGAAAAATGTAGATTTTATTAAGTTATTTGACCTGCCATGAGAGCGCACCCACCATGGCAAAGGTCTGAGAGAACAGACATATCTTATTTTCATCAGCACACTAATCGCTACCATTTACCTTTGATATCATTCTTATACAGATGCAACTATGCAAGCATAACATAAAAGTATCAATCATGCAGCTGAAACTCCGAATAACAAACTTCATCGGAAGAGTCATTGATTTAGCAGTAGTGGTCCAGAACTCCAGATCAAAGCTTCGGCAGACCTCATCGCACAAAGAATTATCATTTTCATTCATGGAACTCCACCATACACCTAGCAAAACATATAAACCAGCATATAAAATATTTGAAGCTTAAATAGAGCATAACGGATCTGGCCAAATATAAGCATCACCAAACGTACATGAAAACATATACAAAAAGCATCGTTGGCAACCTCAGAGCCGAACCTAATCTACCGATCTATAATCTCAGTGATCAGACTGTGCAGATCGCCTTTGATGGAGAAGGAACGTTCAGCTTTTGCCGAACAGCCCGAAATAATCCGATAGCAGTAAGACCACAGTATACGGATTCATCGGCGACCGATCTACTGGAATCTGGAAAACCCATGACCAGGATGGGAAGCAGGGGTAAGATCCGTGAAATGCTTTGGACGATTATAGTGGAACGGGGAATATAATTATAAGAGGATAATGAAAATGGAGAAGAGTCTAGAATTTATTGAGATGGTAGATCGATCTGACGGCCAATGTAAATCATAGATGTGTGTGGTGCGTGGAGCGCTGATGTCCACTGATTTCGAATGGAAGAAAATTATTATTTCCATGTAGGGATGACAATTTAACCCGACCCGATAGATACCAGCATCGAACTGAACCGATCAAAATGGAGAAAACCGCTTTGAAAGGGTAACGGGTACGGGGCGTCAAATACCCGATTTATGTAAACGGGTAATGGGGCAGATATAGGTTTATGCCTACCCGCCCCGTTTAATTTGGATACAGGTACCCGCACCATTACCTGACCCGCACAATTAACTTACATATTTTAATAGTTTATGTATTTATTATTTAATATATTAAGTATGATGGATAAGTGTACTCGGGGTATCTATCTGAGGGGTTACTGCGGGGAGTAACTAGAAAGAAGTCAGAGCAAAAGTAAGAGAGAGAATATATATTGTTGAGAATGTGTTGAGCGTATTGAGCATGGATTACAAATGGGGAAAGGGGTACTATTTATAGTAGTAATAAATGTCAGATAGGGACACGTGTCATCATTCTGGTGGTCGAGGGGTCACCTCAACGGGGTGGCACTGGCACTCGCATGTGGCCGCATTAAATGCGGTGATTGGACATGACGTTTGTACTCGGTACGTTGATCCGGCGCAGGTGGGTGGGAGATTCTGTCGAGGAGATGCCTTCAGGCGTAGATGATTGGCCGAAGGCTCTTCATCTCGGGGGCCTCTAGGTGCTGAGGGCTCTAAGTGTCGAGGGCTACTGTTTTCGCCGCTTTCTCCCAGGCACTTTGAGTGCTTAAAAGAAGTTGTACTGTAAGCTTATGAGCCTTCGGCCAGGGGGCCGAAGGCATCCCAGTGTTCGCCGTGGGCTGTTCGGCACTTGGGGCGCTGTGATTTGGGCCTGTTGTGCTTCCTGGGCCTATTGGGCCTCTGCTATAGTAGTGAGAGTCTATGGCCCGGGGTTCCTGGGCCATATACTCCATCAGGAGTCCCTCATTCCTTTTGCCGAAAGGTACTTGAGGGAAAAGGAGTAATTGCGGTTGTCCTCAGATGCTGCCTTGCTTGTAGCTTGTAAACCTGTGAGAGATTTGCGTTTGTGCACGATTCTGCCGGGGGCAGTCCTTCAGTTCCCCGCATTTTGGGATTTGAAGGATTATGTTGCTGTTTTGGGGAGATTTTTTGACATTTGCATTTTTGTGATTTTTCCCGAAAGGGTCCTCCAGTCCCCCACTCCTTGAGGCACATGTAATGTGGTGAAGATGAGTAGAGTAGTGCTCGCTGTTATCACGTTGCCGAAGGCCGACGCTTTTCGTTTCATTTTGGGGGGATGCCTCATTAAAACCCTCATTAGAAAAAACCTCGTGGGGAAAAATTCTAATGAGGGAAAAAGAGTGCACCGAATTCCCCCAACGATGAATCGAAAAGGTGAAACCTTGGTCTGAAATGGATGACAGTATTGTTGCTGAGGGCTATCCTTATCTGAGGGCGTGTGTGTTGATTTGCCGAAGGCGCTTTGTTAATATTCCGGGAGATGCCGAAGGGGAGTCCCTCAATCCATGTTGATAGGATTGAGGGCGTGATGAATGTAAGTGGTAGTTGCTGTGTTGCCGGGGGGATGCTCTAGCTGTTGACAAGCTGGGGATGAGGGCACCCGAGGGGTCCCGTTGTTGTATGCCAAAGGCTAACCACTGATGAGGGGTTTGGAGGTGTGGCCCCGAGGGTTTCCTGATTCCCAACACGTTGAGGGTTGAGGGGTCCCGCGGGATCTTCCCGTTTGTTAAGCCGTGGGCTCCTCAAGGAGAAAGCCCGAAGGCATTTGTAACGTTGTATGAGGGGTACCGGATGGGAGCACCTTTGTGTTTTCAAAATATAGCTGTTGAGATATGACCGTTGGAAGTGGAGTCCACGTGGCGTGTGCTCGTTGGCTCCCGACGGGTGGGCGTCATCGGTTGGTTGAACCGGCGGTGTGTAATGATGATTCCGGGAATTGGGGGCCCGGATTTCAGCCCAAGCCCAAATTTAGGAGCCTATAAATACCCCTTGCCCGATTCATTTCCCCTTGTGCGTTTCAATTGTTTAGCGAAGCTCTGACAAATTTTTCCTAGAGAGAGAAACTTTCCCTCGGTCAAACTACGAGCTTTCAAGGTCAGTCTTCGATCCATTCTCTGTTGCCTTCAGCATACTTTGCTTTTTTTCTTGGTGAGTTCAGCTTTCGTAGCCTTAGGCTAAGTGATATAGTTCCCTAGGTAGCCCTTTGTTGTAGAAACCCTCATCCCCTAGCCTTCGAGGATGTCTTCGCAAAGTGACTCACAAAACATCTTGAGGGAGCCTTCGATGGAGGAGGAAAGCATTCCTGATGTGGATTCTTCGAGCGAGCAGCTCTCGGCCGGAGATGACATGGAGGTTGCAGTCGAAATCCAGAGCCAGCTCATCACCGAGGCCGAAGCGGAGGAGTTCGAGCAGGTCATAGAGGATGAGGAGATGGCCCTCGCTATTGCTGTAATGCCTCCTCGCAATGATGCCGAGGCCGGAAGCTCTAGGCCCCTTAACCCGATGCCTCTCCGGGTGGCCCCGGGAAGGAGAAGAAGACGAAGGCTGCTGCTCCCATGAAGAAGGGTAGCGTCGCTGATCAAGGAAAACCCATCGATTTTCCTGAGGGTTATTCTTTCCTGAACACCGCCGCCCTTGAGATAAATTCGAAGGCTGACAGGGCGGATTACTATGTCACCCAGTTGCACGTTGGGCCCTCGGCTACTGTGGTGCCATCGGGACCTCACGATGTTCTCTCCCGTGCTCCCGAGGGGTGTATTGATGTTCACATCCTGTCGGTGTCCATGGGCCTTCGGTTTCCACTGCACCCGTTCCTTCGGGAATATCTTAGGTTTGTAGGCCTGGTCCATTGCCAATTAACGCCCAACACCCATTCGTATATCATTGGGTTTATTCACCTCTGCCAATCCCGGGGGGTGACACCTTGCTTGGATCTGTTCTTCCAAAGCTTCAACCTTTGCGGGGGAGGCCATGAAAACGCCGAGGGGTTCGCCAATTTGCAGCAGATTACTCAGTTCAGGCTTTTCACCGAGGCTCCCTCCTCAAACAAAGGCTGGAAGGAGCGGTGGTGCTACGTCAGGTTGGACGAGAACCCTTTCCCGAGGGAGTTGCGGGACCGTTTTAGGCGCCATGAGAAGACAAGAAGCGCCGCCCTCGAGAAAGATGGCATTGTACTCGCCAAGATTCCGGAGGGGCGGAACAAGAACATAACCATCAAAGAATGTACTCTGGAGAGTGATCTATGCGCCCTCGACTTCCGGTGGTACCGTTTCTTGGGGGAAACAGACGAGAAATACCCAATCCTTGACAGAGCCTCCGAGGGGGACATGAGGTAGTTTGTCGGGGGCCTTACATTTTGTACTTAGGAATTTTGTACTTTGATTTTTGTTCGCGCTTTGTATCCTTCAGTCTAATCTCTTTGTTGCTTTGCTCTGCAGGTGCCAATATGGACGTCAGGGGTTTCGCTGGCCTGATGAAGTAGTCCGTGAAGGACCCCAAGAAAAAGGGGCGGGCGGCTAGAAGTCCATCAATGATTTACTCAAGAAGGGCGGTGAGCCCGCGGTGGTTCCCTCCGATGATGATGCCGCTGCCGCCAAGAGGAAGGCGGCTGGCAAAGGAGTCGCTCCCCCCGACAAGAAGCCGAAAAAGGGGATGCTGAGAAGAAAGCTCCCCCAGTGGTGAGCATTGAGGGGGACTCCTCGTCTAAGGCCCCAGTCGGCCCGACAGCTACCTCCAAGGTCCCCTCGGACGAGGGGGGCCTACCCAGGGAGAGCATCCAGTTCTTTCTCCCTAAGGGAACGGCCATCGTGCATGGCACGGTGGACCCGAAGGAATTCCTGAAGGGTGCCACCCCTTCGTCGGACAAGGCTACCCTCGGCCGAATGGACGATGCGGCCCTTAACAACAGGATCCTTCGCTTAAAATAAAACTATTGTAACTTTCTGTAAAGTTATTGGTATGGTGATCACTCTTACATATTGTATTAAAGTGAGCCCTTGGCGACAAATGTGGACCTATCCCCATCAAGTAGTCCTTTGTACAAACTGCTGCATTCTCCAAATTCAGAAGATTTCTTTCAAAATAATTTTTTTTGAATGTTGAGGCAATAGCCTACGCCATTTGCTTGATGTGTTTCCCTTTCCACCACATACTCATGTTTTTGAAGATATGCCCAGAACAACTTCTTGCATTGCAGCCTTCCAAATGTGTTTCAATACTACTACTAATGGCTTGAGCCTTATCTGATATAACCGTGAGCGGAAAAGAGTATTTCTTGAGTTCAGAAGCTATTACTTCTAGAAACGTAACCCAATTTTGACCATCCTCTTTCCTGCAAACAAACATCGCCAAAGGAAACATGTCAATATTCCCATCCATGATAATAGTTGTTAGGCACATTCCTCTATATTTACCCTTTTAAAAGCATCCATCCAAACCTACCAGTGGCCTGCAACCTTTTATCCAACCATCCAAGCTAGACCTAAAAGCAACACACAACTATATCTCAAGGTGTGTAACTTCTATGATGCAATGTCATGTCTTCAGCGATCATATTAGCTATCCATCTAGTTGTTGCCCCTCTATTGATGTTAGTGCCATCATTCTCACAAGTGTCTTCCTCCCAGAGAGTCTCAACTTCAGTTGTGTGGCAAAGGTACTATATATAACACCTCCAAGGACATCCTTCCCTTTTACACCTTAATATGATCTTATCTGAACAGTTTTTTTGAAACAAAACCTCAAACTTGTTCTTAATAGCGTATATTCTAATATACTTCCTACAGGCATCCATAGTCCCCATTGTTTTCCTACTGCCAATTGTAATTGGTCTTCCCATTTTTCCGGCTCACCCTAAGAAAAACATTCTTCATTGCATTCAACCGGTTTGTGTGTAAATCCACTCACATGAGTACCTATTT